TCTCTAGGTTTTAGGGTTGAAGGCGGCCCGTCCTGACCACCACGTCGGCCATTCCCTTTACTCCTGCCGGGGGAGGGAGGGCGGGATGCCGGTCTGCACCCGCCTCCAGCCCGGCCAGGCCCTGTCATGGAGACCCCGCTGTCCCCTTTCTGCTCCGAAGGCGGCCGGATTTGGGGCCTTCTCTTCGCCACGCTTCCTCAGGGCCCTGGTCTAGGCTTTAGGGTTGAAGGCGGCCCGTCCTGACCACCACGTCGGCCATTCCCTTTACTCCTGCCGGGGGAGGGAGGGCGGGATGCCGGTCTGCACCCGCCTCCAGCCCGGCCAGGCCCTGTCATGGAGACCCCGCTCTGTCCCCTTTCTAGGAGAGCGGCCCAGACCCAGGGCTGAGAGATCCGTTCCGGACAAGTGCGAATGGGGCCGGGGGGAGGCTTCTGTGTGTCTTCCCTCTCCAGGTAGAGGCAGAAGCAGGTCAGGCCTGGACTTGTAGCCGGGAGATCAGGGGATAGGGCTGGGGGCTGGGCAGCCCACGGCGCTCTGTGTCCTGCCTTCCGTGGCCTGGTTCTAGGGAGGCGCGATCCACCCCGGAGGGAGGCCTCCTTGACCAGAATGCGGGGGCCAGCCTGGGGCAAGAAGGGAGATCCAAGTCCCCAAAAGTTGGAGATTTGGGAGAGTTACGTCCTCCTCCCTTCCAGGTATTTGTAGTTCCTTTTCCAAGGGGTGTCAACCCAGGACATGTTTCCGTGGATCGCTGGACCCCCGCACACTCAGTGGGCAGGGCGTGGGCAGATGTATCTCCTACGAAATAGGGTTGTGTTGAGGGTGACTTCGTGGGCCCCGGATGCCCCGCTCGGAGAGAGGCTGGAGCCAATGGGAGTCTGACCTCGGGCCTTCCCCTAGCCCCCTAGACAGGGGACAGTAATTAATGTTAATTAGGCATTTGGGCTGGGGAACACTGAGTAGGATGGTCAGTGATTGGCAGGAGGGAGCCGTGTGTGTGTGTGTGTGTGTGTGTGTGTCCTGGGCCCTGTTCCTGCCCTCACCCTCAGAACCTGGTACATTCTACCAGATGAGAAATATGAAAACTAGAATGAAACATCTCACAGAGGAAGCCTAGAAATTCGATATCTGGTCCCAGCTGGACTTGAGCTAGCGGTGTCATCTTGGTGGGCCTTGTCAGGCCTCGGTTTCCCTGCTGGGAACAGTGACTTCCCAGGTCCCTTTTCTCTGAGCCCCTCCCGGAGGCTCTGTCAGTCAGCCTCCGCCCCTCCCATTATGGAACCGGAACCTGTGTGGTCTGGAGAGGTCAGTGGGTGACCCTGTGGTCTTAGCAAGAAGGCGAGGACAAGCCAGGGGTGACTGAGGAGCAGCTGAACCAGGTAAGCGTGGCCACAATAGTTGCAGGCAGCAGGGCTCAAGCGACAGGGAAGCCAGGTGGGGGGAACTTGCCCGCTGAAATGGCCATGGGGTCTGGCAAGCAGGATGGGATGAGTGGCATCAGAGGCCACTGGGTGGAGGGCCGTGCGCCTGGCTCCCGACCCCCAACTCCTTAGGCCTCAGTGTTGAGCTGCAAAGGTATCAGCCCTGCCCATCTTCTCGCTCAAGGGGAGGAGGGGACAGAGGCTTCAGCTCTGAGAAGGGTGGGGAAGGGCGCTGGTAGCACCAGACCGGGGAGCTGGGGTCCATCATGGCTCTAAATACTGCAGCTTTCTGTGGAGGTGGCGTGGAGGTCACCCCCTCTTCTTCCCACATGGAGGCTGCAGAAGCTGGAGGTCCCAGGGGTGGCCTTGAGGACCCAGGTCTCTGCGGACCTCTTCGGGGCAGCCCTGGGGCCATGGCGGGAGCTTCCCTGGTCAGAGCTGGAGCAGAGGTCAGCACGTGACCCCTGCTCTGTCCCCATGGCCTTGCCCTGACCTTCCCTTCCTCCTGGTGTGGTGCCAGCCTCGGGCTGGCTGCAGGAGAGGGGCTGCCCCTCGGGGAAAACACAGATGGAGAGGGTCCCCGCAGGAGGCCGTGGGCAGGGAGAATTCTCTCCCTGGGATCCCCGCAGCCCCAGCCTGGAGGTTTCCTAGAGAGCTGATTGCTTCCTGTGCTCCCTGCCAGGCCCGAGAGGACAGGAAGCGATAGCGGGAAAAGAGTGCAACTGTGGGTGCCGCTGGAGGCGTGCGCGAGAAACCCAGGGGACACTGGGGGAGTCTGTGCGGTGGGTGCGGGCATGAGCGAACCAGGTACAACCAGTTTGTGTGTGCGGCTGCATGCGAGGCTGGACAGATGCACCAGAGCCTGTATGTGACATGTCTGTGTGACTGCACTGCATGTACATGGGCGAACCTGTGTGATGATGGTGAGTGTGGCTGAGGGCTCACGGGTGTGTTTAGGAGAGACGCTGGCTCCGGACCATCGGGGGAGCCTGAGTCTGCCCTGGGTGGGATTTTGATGCTCTGTGTGTGTGAGGGACACAGCGATGGGATGATGTGTGCGTGTCAGAGTAGAATGAGTAATTCTGTGTGACCCAGGGCGCTGTGGCATGACCGCTTATGCTGCGTGTGTGCGCACAGCATGTGAGATGGTCTCAGTGTATAGGACTCTCATGGTCTGTGTGTGTGATTATATGTGACTGTTTTGTTTTTGTGTAGGGTTTTTGGTGGAGATCTGGGGAAGGATCCCAGGTGTATATGACATTTTGTATGAGAAAAACTGGCAGTATGGGAAGTGTGTGTGTGTGAGTGAGTGTGTGCGTGTGTGTGAGTGTGCATGAGTATGACTGTGTGTATGTGAGTGAGTGTGAGTGTGAGTGTGTGTGTGAGACACCAGGACGTGGAGGGCCTCATCGCCGCAGTGGACGCGCTCAGCGCTGTGGAGTGCGTGTGAAGGAAGGTGTGCGGGAACAGCACCAAGGAAACTGCTTGGCGCTGCGTGTGAGGGACCGGGTGTGACTGACGCCTCTGTGGGTGGTCACTATCTGGGATTATTTGGGACTGTAGGACAGTGTGGGCGGCATCCTCCAGGGCTGTGCCAGGCGTGGCATGGGACCGCGTGACAAATTGGGGGCCTGGTCTCAGTGCATGTGGCGGCTGTGTGGGGGACCATCGAAAAGATGACTGTTAAAAACAAGAAGGCATGCATTTAATGCCACTGAGCTGCGCACTTAGAAATGGTTAAGGCCGGCCGCTGTGGCTCAGTGGTTGAGTGTCGACCTATGAACCAGGAGGTCATGGTTCGATTCCAGTCAGGCCATATGCTGTGGTTACGGGCTTGATCACCAGTGTGGGGTGTGCTGTAGGCAGCCAATCAATGATTCTCTTTCATCATTGATGTTTCTACCTCTCCCTCTTGCTTCCTCTCTGAAATCAATAAAAGTATATTTTTTAAAAAATGGTTAAAATCGGCCCTGGCCGGGCGTGCAGTGGTTAGAGCATTGGCCCTCAGGCTGAAGGGTCCCGGGTTCCCTTCCAGTACCTCGGTGACAGGCTCAATCCCCGCCCGCCCCGGGTCAGGGCGAGTGTGGGAGACAACCAATCAGTGTGTCTCTCCCATCGATGTTTCTCTCTCTGTTTCTCCCTCTCCCTCTCCCTTCCACTCTCCAAAAAGCAGTGGAAAAGTATCCTCCAGTGAGGATTAACAAAACAAAGCAAATCAATGAAACACATTCTCGGGTGAAGATTTTAAGAAATTGTTAAAATCATAGATTTTATATTGTATATTTCTTATCACAATAAAATGAAAATCAGAGAGCAATGCCGGTGGCAGCGAATGCGAGGGCAGTGTGTGTAGCGGGAGCGGGGCCGGGGAGCCCGGTGTCTCTGGAAGACATCACATCGCGACTGGCAACTAGCGGGTGACTCGGGCCGGGGTGCAGGCAGTCCTAGTGGGGGGCATGGCATGTGAATTGAGATCTGTGGGACCCAGTTTCCCAAGTTACCCACTAGCTGTATCTCTGTTCCCCCTAAACTCGGACACAGGCCTTGGCTGGAGATGGACAAGATGAGGAGACAGAATCTCGGGGTGGGGGTGAAGGGAGGAGTAGGACTGGCCCCTCTCTCTGCAGGAGGGTGAGGTCTCTACCCTTGCATCCTCCTACACTGTGGGTGGGGGGCAGGGTGCTGACTGGGGCCAGCTTTGGAGAAGGGAGCCTGGGGTTCCTCTGCTCCCTGAGACGACGCCGTGCCCTGCGTAGGGGGAGGGGGGTGCGGAGTCTTGATTCCCAAATTGGAAGCACATTAATAACGGGGAGAGGGGAGGAGGCCCCCACCCCCTCCTAGTTGACTCTGCAAATTGCTTCCTCCTGTAAAAACCCGACCCTGCTCCAGGGGGCGGGAGCTCCCTCCCCAGCCTAGAGGGTGTGGCCACTTGGCAGGGTCCCTGGGGGTCCTTGGACGGGAGCTGGGGGAGGCACCATCACCCCCATCCCTCCCCACTCTCGGGTCCCAGCTAGAGCTGGGCCACTTTGAGGGTGGGAGGCTCCGGCAGCTGGAGAACAGCTGGCCTCGCTGTGGGCTGGGTGGGGAGGAGGGGGAGCATGGGGAGGCTCCCTTAGCTCTCATCCACCGCCTCCCCTTCCTCACCCCCTGGCCGGCCAGCCCAGCCCTGGTTTGGGATGGGATTCAGGATGGAACGCTGATTTCAGTCATCTTCCCACACTTTGAGGGGCTGGGGTGCCTGCAAGAGTGGACACTGCCAGCCGCCAGATCCGGCAGGGCCACCAGGCACGGTGTGTCCGCCCAGTGGGCTGGTGCCAGGGGAGGAATAAATGTGGGGGACACCCACCTGGACTTGCCCTGTCTGCCTGCCCGTCCACCAGGGCAGGGGGAGCCCAAGCCGAGGTCTGGAGGCCGAGGGGCCATAGGGTGGGGGCCTGGTGCCTCTGCAGTAGCCCCAGCTCGGCCTCCATCCCTGGAGCTGTCCAGCCAGTTATTCCGGCAGGCCTGGCCCCAGGACAGGGAGTGGGCCGCAAGGTGCCCCTTATCTCCCCGGCCCCGGAGCCGGCTCACCCAGCCTCCCAGCTCCCATCCCTGCACCACCCAGCGCGCCTCTGACCTCTGCAGCCTGAGGGCCGCTGGTCAGACTGAGGGTAAAGGTAGATGGGACCACAGGAGTCCCAGGCCCATGGCAATGCCGGCCTCTGCTGGGGGAGGTCGGGTGGGAGGTTGTCTGTGAGGAGGCGTTAAGCATCTGCTCCCTGGTGGTCAGTGCATGTCATAGCAACTGGTCAACTGGTAGTTCTGATCATTCTGTTGTTCAGTCACTGGGCTTTTATATATAGACTGGTCACTTAAAATAACAGAAATGTGTTCTCTCATGGTTCTGGAGATCAGAGGTGCAAAGTCAGTGTTGGCAGAGCCACTCTCTCTTGTTGTCTCTTCTAGCCCCTGACTGATCCAGGTGTCCCTTGGATTGTGGCAGCATCACACCAATCTCTGCCTCTGTCTT